CGGATTCCATGTTCGATAATATTTTTTTATATAAGGCGTAGATTTATTCAAAATAGAAAAATCACGTGCGCGTGAACGCCGATCACTTTGACAAGAAAAAAATTCATGACTCCACAAATATCATTTCTTCTGAAATAAGAGGCATGTATTGTTGTTGTATAAAAACGATCTTTCGGAGAAAGTGCAATCCATGCATTAAGCTTTTTTTTGACGTCAATCCAGGAAGAGAGATGGTAAAGATATTTCCGGTAGTATTAAATGTGTTTCATATTCATAATTTATGTGCCTATTTCTTTTGAAATGACACTCCGTCTCTGGCACTAGCTCCGTTATAATAAATATCGTAGTGTAGAATATGCGTAGCATAGAGACAAAGTCTCATATAACCAAAAAGTTGTTTATACGATTAGCTCCGCTATTAATACACAGTAAAAAAAAACAGAATTGAAAAATTAATAATTATCTTAGACAGGTCAGTATGCCTATTCTTCCTCATTTCACAATTCGTGGGTTACGGATAATGGTGCTTTGTAGTAGAGAATGAGTAATTAATTCCGATTTGATTTTTTCTTGCCAAAGTGATCGGCGCACGTGGTTTTTTCGATCAAATATATAATATAATATTATAATTTATTATTATTATTATGTGTCAAAAAAAACCACTAAGCTTCGTTTATTCGATAATAGATGTATTAACTTCCTACTTTGATAAAAAAAAACAAGAAATGTTGTCAAGATCGCTCATATAAAAATACTTAATTAATATATGTCAAGTACGTAAGTGCCATAAGTCTTTAGACTTGTCCCATCTGGGCCCGATCTGCAATAATATACTGGATCATCCATATAAAATTAGCATATGTAAAAAGTTATCTGAACAAATCATTACGCGAGTTCATTTAGTTATTGTATTTTATTCTCCACAATCATTGCGGAGGAAAATTACCATATATACTTATTTAATAGTAATAATAATGATAATAATAATAATAATAATAATAAAATCTACCTAGCTTGTCAGTGCGTCAAAATCCAATTCGGTATAGGAGATTTTCTTGTATGAATTAATAATAAAAAACATAATTGTCTTTTAGCACAAATGTAACTCATGCTAATATTACACATCTTCTGTAATGCGTCATCGTTATTCTCAGAATGTTTTGATCTAATTTTAGACTGCGGGTGGTGATGGGGGAAAGATATATAAATACAAGATAAGTCAACTTCTCTACTTCTATTTCATAACTGTAACACCTAATCAAAAAAATCTATTTAAAAATCTATTTAAAATCTATTTAAAATCTATTTAAAAATCTATTTAAAAATCTATTTAAAAATGTCTATCGATATAATTCATGTTTTTTTCTTTTTGATTTTCATCGCACCATATGTAATCATGATATTTATGCGCATCTCGTATAAGCAACAAACCGCAGATCCAGCTACAAAAAACATTGAAAAAGCTATTTTAGCACTCAATAATGAAATCAGTAAAATGCACACTGAATCGGAATGGAAAAGTGAAACCCAGACTCTAGGTAAATTTATTGCAAAGCAGGCCCGAAGGGGCGACCCTAAAGGGTCATGGCACTTACGTGCCTGATAACCTATCTTATGATGCAAGTGAGCTCACTCATTCCAGAATTTACACTGACGAGTCTAACATTACAGGTTGCGCCTCTATTACAAGCCATAGATCGGAATATCCAGATAAAACTGAAGCTACCTGGGTTGAATTTACCTACCTCTTCGATGAAAGAAGAAAAAGAGAAGGGCGTTCCCCTGCTACAATGTACAATGTCTTATCTGAAGAAATTAGACTTAGTCCTGCAACGTTATCTGGATTTTATCGCCACCAAAAAAAACCGCATTAGATAAAATCGAAGCTTGGGTCGATAAAGAAGGAAAAAAGAAAGACAAGTCTGTTAGTAGTGGTGGTAGTAGTGGTAGAAACAAAAATAATCTTATAATTACTAGTACTGAATAATCGCGAGCCCAAAGTACAGGGATGCACATTATATGGCCTTGGAGTCGTGCATTATATGCGCTTTCACATCCCTCCCATGCAAGCTCGTGTTTATTTCTATTTTTCTATTTTTCTATATCAAATATCATTAAAAATCATTATTATTATATATCAAATATTACAATAAAAAATCATGATATCTATTTGCTATTTTTTTAAAAAATCTACTTATTTCTTGTTCGATTAAATGTAATTATCTATACCGATATTTGTGTCTTTGAGGAATATTCTCTCGGTTAATCCATAATCTTGATCTTCCATGATCTAGTCTTCAAGCATATAAGTGTATACTTACCTCCAATAAAATTCCCTGGCCGTAACTTCTTCGTGAAAATCAGAAGGAAGCTCATACATATATTTTACGGGATCTTTCTTAGGTGCGGGTATGAAATAGTTGTCTTGTAAAATTCAAATTTGATACTCTACCTGCATAATCGATCAGATAATCAGTACTAGTATGTCATGCGACATTAATTGGAGCTGTGTAACAAAAAATGTTCTAGTAATTTCGACATAAAAATATCTATCTAAATGATCCATCAGCTTATTATTTGAATTTTTTGACTTCAAAAAATGCTTTGTTCCTTAAGAAACAGATCAAACGTTGTTAAACAATTACCTTTAATCAGAAAAGGAATTATTACCAAAATTAGCACGAAGTCTCCACGGAAAAAGCAAATCGTCGTAACTCCTGGTTCGTTATGGAGAAATAAACAATTAGAATATTTCAGAATAAAGATAAATGAAATAAAAGATTTCGAAAGTTTTTTTCAAGAAAGTCCTCCTAAGATTGAAAGTTTATCTGAAGAAGTAAAAGAGGCATTATCTATAGATCTATCTAAATTAGACATTTTATATAATATAGATTGGGGAAAGATAAAACATAAACAGGTTTCCAGAGTCGTAAAATCTTTACTGGCCATGACAAAGACTCATAGAAATGTTGAAACCACAGTAGATGGTCTTGCAAAAGAACTACTTGAACTTTTTAATTACGATGAAGGAGATCTGCAGATACAATGTCGTGAAGAAATGAAACTAGAAATGTGTGGTTCAACAACGAGCGCAAAACCTGATGTGTGTATTGAAACATCTCATCTCATGATAAAACTATTAATTCAGGAAGACAAGAATTACCAAGTTTCGAATCTAAATACCGTTGCTGAATCACAAATCATAGCTGAAGCAATAGGTGCATTTCAGGAAAATAGCAAAATTGGACAACCTTTAGAATCGCAGTTGTTGCCTTGTATAACAATGCTCGGAACCTGTCCCACATTCTATTTAATTGGAATAAATAAGGAGCTAGCAGAATGTGTAAGAATTGGAGACCGTCCCAAGGAAAAGACTATTGTTAAAAAATATGCTATTTCAGCACCGATCATTCCAATGGGAGATGTGATGTTGTTACAAAATCATAGATATCATATATTTCAATGTTATGAAGCGTTTAGAAAGTTCGTGGTAAGAAACATGTAGAAATATACTTTTTTAAACAAGTGATATATAATCACCAAAATTTTGTTGTATAATTTTATATTTTTGTATTATTTAATTATTTAGCATGGCTCTTCTTTGTATAGTTTAATCTACAAATCAAATATTTTATGTAAAAACCATCAAAATGTGCATTAGAAATAAGTCAATGTTCAGAATTTTTTAAACATCTTTTAATAAAAGCCATAAATAATTGTTGTATAAGTCATTTATTTGCAAAAATAAAAACCAATTAGTATAAATTTTTTGTTTGATCAGTTGTTTTTCTGCATCTGGCGATAATACAATAAATCAAATTGTTCGAGCCTTCTTTTGCCTTGGTAAATCCGATTTTTCCATTGATCTTTTACTTATCCATAAAATTTTTGTTCACAATAATGTAAATCGTATATCAACTTAATTTTACTTGTATGATGTAATTCCGAATTTGATTCTTGGATCGCGGGTGTTACTACAAAACATATAAAATATGGTGAGTTTCATCGGTTAGTCCCTTTATCTGCTTTGCTTAAAGAAATGTGTGACAAGTTTACAATGAACTATATCAATGATATTGTTGAGGAACTGCCTCGTGAACTTTCACATAAAAGTTGAGATGAGTCAGAATAGGTCCTTGGAAGCATTACAACTGGAATTCTTGATACATTGCGAGTATAGTATCATCTTATCCGTGTCTCATTGTGAAATTATCTTATAGTCCCAAGTTTATGCTTATTAATATTTGGTCTTTTAGAGGGGATATTTAGAAGGAGAAGGACTGGAAATGCCCTGACATCATGTTTGTAGAAAAAAAATTTATGAAGTGATGTTTGCTGAATGTTCACATATTTTTGTGGTAGACAGGAAGAAGGTAATGATTGGGTGAAGCTGTACTAAGTACATAAAGGTTATAAGCCAAAAAAGATGAATTTGGTATTATCGGAATGAAAGTTGCTGGGCAGAAGCTTCATTTGTATATTCTTATTTAAGATAATGATGAGATAGATAGGCTTTTCAAGTTATGTTCAGTAGATATCCCGATTCAATGCAGGGATGGAAATATAGTGTTTAAATTTGTTGATGCATTGTTACTGTTATGTGTATGAATTTATATTTAAGTTGCCTGTGATTATTTTATATCATGATTCCTAACTTTCTTTTTCTATGGAAAATCTTAACCTATCTTCAATCATGTGGAGATTATAGTTCTACAGTATCTACTCCATAGGTTTGATTTCCTATTACTATTTATTTCTTTTTCGTATTTCTTTTTGTAATTCAATTATTTTCGTTAGTAAAGCTATGCATGTAATATTTGGATCGAGATTATTTGCCTATAGATATTCACATACCTCTTCATAATCAAATACTGCTTTCGTATCTTGTGTCTTCCTATTTAAGATAATTATACCCCCCCTCATCCATGATATGTACATATTTATTCCGGTCTTGATATAATAAATATTTGTTTTGGATTCGTAGTAAATTTGCCTTGAGACTTTCGACTATTGTTCCTAGAATTGCGAGACATATTAATGTATAATAATGCATTATATCAAAGTATGAGACATTCAAATTATTTTTCTTGCCAAAGTGATCTATGTTACAAATTAGAACGCACACATACCTTACCATCTAGCTCAAGTGATCTACCGAAACTGAGGCAAGTGAAGAAGCAAAACTTCGAGTCTCTGACTCATCTGCTACAACTCCTATTCCTTCGACTTATATATTATCTAATTCTTCAGGTCCAGAAAATTTGCCGAAAACTCGGGTAAGTGCATCAAACAAAACCCAATTCCTAGGACTAATCCAAAATAAAATGGAATGCCTTTATCAATATACCATTGAACATGGTGAGGATCCTGAACAATTTTCGGTTATTACCGAGGCTGAGAAACAAAGATGGGCTGTAAACTGTTTCCGTAATGAGTTGGAAAGAGATATGCGTTTCTATCGAAATGCGGGTTTAATTGGTGAAGAGTTACTGTGTCGTGATATACTAAAAAGTTGTTTAAGTACTGCATGGAAAATGTATACTAATAAGGTTTTTTTTATTCCTTCATAGATAAATATCAAAGTTGATATTTGTATCTTGTAACGTGCACGTAAGTAATTCTTTTTTATCATGCATTTCCTATGTAACATATTGCACAGTATTAAAAGTTACTGAGAAAACTAATCACACAATGTAGGAGTTTTAAATTTATAAATTTAATAGCCATTAACTAATTCACTATTATTGTTGACAATATACATATAGTAGCTAAATTTAT